AGCTCACATTCTAGGCAGTGACCCAGACACTAAACAAGTGTTTTAGTTATCTGTCACTGGGTAACAAACCACCCCAAACTCTGTGGCATAAAACAGCAGCCATTTTATTATGTGCGTGTATTCCTTAGATCCCAAATTCCAACGGGGCATAACGGGATGGCTTGTCTCTGCTCTTCAATGCCTGGGACTTAGTGGGACTCAGTCAGTCACCAGGAGTGACTCCGGTGGCTGGAGGCTGGAACCATCTGGAGCCTTCTTCAGTCGTGTGTCTGGAACCTGGACTGAGAAGACTGGAGCTGGGTCTCCTGGGACTGTCAACAGAGCACACACAGGAAGCACTCCATGTGGCTTGGGCTCCTCCCGGCATGACAGCTGGGCTCCACAAGGGAACACTCTGGAAGGAAGGCCTGGAGAATGGGTGTCCAAAGAGACCAGAATGAAGCTCAAGGCTTCTTACAACGACCTCCCCTCAAAAGTCACGCAGTGTCATCTCTGCCACAGGCCTAGCTGACACCACCACTTGGCTGCTTTGTATTTCTCAATGACTAAAATTTACCTTTATGAACTATTTCCCGAGCGTCCGGGAGCCCACACCTTGGGTCTGCTGATTTTATTTTTTCAGAATTTTAAATCACCGAGGAGACCATATTTTCTGTAGGAATGCTTAGGAAAGTAAAATCCAACGTGTTTATATCCTTCCTTTCCCCTTCAGAGAAAATCCTTTCATTTGTTTCTGGTTTTCTGCTCTCCTGAGAGAGGAAGGGATTAGAGTGAAGTTTATACCTGGAAGTTGGCGAGTTATAGCCGCATACAGACAGCTTTATCCAATAAAGAAGCTAGGACTGGTTATCTAGACGAGAGAAGAAAATGAAATAGGGTCCCAATTAATTCAAGACAACCAATTGCCTTGGCCTTTGATACTGTAATAAGTGATCACATAATTGTGGCAGAGAACACAGAAGTGGCAGCTTGAAATAAAACTCCAACTGACATACTTTTAAAAGCAATATGGCAGCTGTGAGCTTGCCACAGAATTAGCAGGAGAGCTGGAAGACTTCCCTTTGGAAAGCCGGCCTGCAGCTGAAAAACAATGGTTAGTTCTTTCTTCCTCTGCTGTTCCTCTGTTCCAATTTAATATGAAATGATAATTTCTTCTTTTTCATGGGTGGGGAGAACAGCCGGTGGGAAACAGAGTAAGGGTCCCTCAACCCCAAGCTATGGTAACCTCAGTCCATGGTAATCCCAAGCCATGGTTCCCCTTTACAGAACGTATCCTTTCTTTCCCACCAACATCAGTGATGGAGAAGAGATCACGCTTATGTAACAGTTAACAGGTAACCAACCAAAGGAGCTAAAGGACCATTCCCTCTGTGCTGTGAAGAGCGTGAGTAGAGTTGCCATTGCCAGGTAACCAGGTGTAAAGCAACGCTGTGATATTTGAGCTTTCTGTAGAGGCAAATAAATTAGGAAAAGATTTAAAAGGGTCTTCAACCCCGAGGAATAGATAAGGAAGATGAGGTACGTATATACAATGGAGTATTAGCCATAAAAAAGAACAAAATAATGCCATGTGCAGTGACATAGGTGGACCTAGAGTTTGTCATACTGAGTAAAGTAAGTCAGACAGAGAAAGACAAATATCATGTAATATCGCTTATATGTAGAATCTAAAAAAATGGTACAAATGAACCTATTTACAAAACAGAAATAGAGTCACAGATGTAGAAAACAAACTTATAGTTACCAAGGGGGAAAGAGGGGAAGGGATAAACTGGGAGATTGGGATTGACATATATACATTACTATACATAAAATAGATAACTAATAAGGACCTACTATATAGCACAGGGAACTCTACTCAGTACTCTGTAATGGCCTATATGGGAAAAGAATCTAAAAAAGAGTGGATATATGTATATATATAACTGATTCACTTTGCTGTACACCTGAAACTAGCCTAACATTGTAAATCAACTACACTCCAATAAAAATTATTTTAAAAAATTTTAAAAAAGAAAAACTTTCTTGAACAATTATAAGAAAAAGGGGGGGGGGGCTCTTCAACCACATGGAACTATTTCTTTTGAAAAAGTTCTTCTTAGAATAGTCCCAAATGTTAGAAATTCAAATCTGGGGAATTCCCTGGCAGTCCAGTGCTTAGGACTTGGTGCTTTCACTGCTGGGGCCCAGGTTCAATCCCTGGTCAGGGAACTAAGACCCTGAAAGCTGCATGGTATGGCCAAAAAAAGAAAAAGAAAAAGTAAATTCAAATCTGGACAAAATAGCTCTCCCTGAATCCTCTTTATGAGAAAATTGATGATTTGAGTGTGATAGTCATGCCGACGATGACTATCTTGATAACATTTATAACATTTCTTGAAAAAAAAATTTTTTTTCCAACCAAAAATAAGGTGTTCCAAAATTGATAAAACGCTCGATTGTTTGTGCCCATTTCTATGTACAATACAGTGTGGAAAGAATTCAGTTCCATGAACAAGCATCATTGAAAAGAGAATAATGAAATAAATAAGAAGTGAACTATGTGCTTTTAAAAAATATTCTTTGTGCTTGTTTGCAAAGTGTTTGAAAGCAAAAGTAGCAGTTTCTTTAATTAAAAGAAATAATGTAACATGTGACCAATCTAATATAAAAAATATTACCAAATATTTTATGTCTGTCCAGCATTTTATTGAAACCATCTAGTAATTCTGCGGCAACTGTTTCCCCTATGATGCTGAAAGCATGCGGACTTAGTGGAGCAGAGGGATGGGAGGGGTCCTGGGGAACACGGAATAAGTGACAAAAAGAAAGAATGATATCAAAGGAAAGGACAACAAATGGGATAGCAAAATGAGAAAGGGAGGGGACAGGAAGATTGAAAAGGGGTTGAGGGTCATACAGAGTGAAGTAAGTCAGAAAGAGAAAAACAAATACCGTATGCTAACACATATATATGGAATCTAAAAAAAAAAAAAAGGTTCGGAAGAACCTAGGGGCAGGACAGGAGTAAAGATGCAGACATAGAGAATGGACTTGAGGACATGGGGAGGGGGCGGGGGAAGGGTAAGCTGGGACGAAGTGACAGAGTGGCATGGACATATATACACTACCAAATGTAAAATAGATAGCTAGTGGGAAGCAGCCACATAGCACAGGGAGGTCAGCTCCGTGCTTTGTGACCACCTAGAGGGGTTGGATAGGGAGGGTGGGAGGGAGACGCAAGAGGGAGGAGATATGGGGATATATGTATGCATATGGCTGATTCACTTTGTTATACAGCAGGAGCTAACACAACATTGTAAAGCAGTTATAAAGATGTTTAAAAAAGTAAAAAATAAAAATATGTTTTAAAAAAAAGAAAAGGGGATGAGGGTTGTCTTAGTAAATTCTGCTACTTTCCTAAAAAAAAAAGTTAAGCAAAAGAACAACTAGAATTTGCTTAAACAGGAACGGAATAGATACTAAAACCCTGAACAAAGAGTTGTCGAAAGGGAACAAGAACTCTGCCCGGCTCTCCCCCTATCTCTGCTGTGTTCACATTCAGCACCTCCCTGGCCAGGACTGGCCTCTGCTGCAAGTGGACACTGTGCTTCTCTCCAAACAAACTGTAGCCAAGAGAATTTTAAATGTTGATGTACCATCATTCCCGTGTGTTATCAGAGCTCAGTCTCCACTCAGGAATCTCTCCCTGGCAGTCAGAGTAAGCCAGGGTCTCACACATCACTGACAAACAGATCATAGGGAAGGACTGTAAGAAAAGCTGGAATAATGCCAGGTGCCGACCAGCTTCTCCTCTTGGAACAGCTCTGCGATCTTGGTTTCCTATAAAGCAGTCTCCTCAAACTTTAACTTGCACAGGAGTCAACTTGGGGATCTTGTTTAAATGCAAATACTGGTTCAGAGGTGCTGGGATGAATCCAAATTCTGCATTCTAACAAGCTTCTGGGGACCCTGCTGGTCCTCAGATGCACTGGGAGACGTGGGTTATAGAGCACCCAGGTGAACCCTGAGTGAGTCAGGTGTGACAAGAGGGAGAGATGGAGAGAGAACAGGCGAGAGAGAGAAGCACACTCTCTCCTGCAGGTTACATACCCAGAGAACACAGGAAGCGACATATATTCTTTGTTCATTCATTACGGTACTTTGTCCAATTCCGCAGCTTTCAGAGTGATGACAGTTTCCCTTCTGGACTTTTAGGCAGCTGGCATTCTCTACACATGAGTCTGGACCCAGAGCAATACCAGCTGTGAGTAAGCCCAGGGAAGGAAGTGGAACTCCAAGACTCCAGGAGTTCTAACCTGCCCTGTTGGCTGGGCACCCGGCTGGCCCCCCTGCAGCTTTTCCTACCTTCTTCTCAGCCAACTTCTTCCACGGAGTAACGATAATTGTCTCTGAATCGTGCTCAACCTGAACGTCAAGGGTATGCTGGAAAGCTTAGGTGACTGAAGCAGAAATATTGAGAAAGTGCTAAAAACCAGACTTCCTGATGGAAGCTAGTGGTTTGAGTCTGATTTCTTTACCCCTTTGAAAGATGTTCCAGATCCAGAAGCTTCCTCGACGTTCCTCATGTTTGTGTGTGAGACAGAAGATGTAGGTGATGGAGTGCATCCTGGACAAACCAGAGGCAAATAGCACTAAGGAAAAACTATGGTTTGGCCTCACGAAGAGAGTTGGAATTAAGAGTCACTCTCAGTTGGAGCAGTTTGATCTTTATTTCCTTTGCCAGAAACTGCGTGTGGCATGATGCGGTGTGGGTGTCCTCAGAGGTGCTACCTAGCTTTGCATGTTTCCTGACGGAGGCAGCACTCCTGCCAGCACCTAGGCGCCAGAGTGGGGAGTGTCAGTGGGAGGAGTAAGCAGGTTTCACTTCCTTGCTGGTTGGAGGCTCAGCTACAGCTGGCTTCTCTCTCAGCGGGGAGGGGAGGGTGTGAGGGGCAGCAGAACGTGTCTCTCTCTGCCTCTTACCCAGAGCACCTCGCAGGGGCTTAGCAGACGCGAGGGGTGCGAATGGGCAGAGCAGAATCTCTAGAAGGGAAAATGAGCATCCAGGATCCTTCAGATCTGTGGAGCACGTCGGACGGAGAAGCTGAGCTGCTCCAGGACTTGGGGTAAGTGGGCAGGTCCCCTTTTCCAGGCGCTTATTGGGTGAACCTTAACTCCTCACCCCTACTCAAATGCTCATCTTGATGAATGATTCTCTTTAGCACTCTTTCTCTCTGACACCCCTATCTTCTATCCTTTCCACTTTACTCATCTGTGTCTGTGGGGGCCCAATTCCATTGTGAAAGTATGGATTACCTTTCCAGATGTGAAAACAAGTAGGTGGAGAAAGTGGGACCAAAAAATCAAATGCTGGACGTTCTTTGAGATTAGGGACAGAATTGGGCTGTAGTCGCATTTGTTGCTGGGTTTCCTTGTTATTGATCTGGTCTACGAATAAATGTGCTATAAAAAGTTCTGAGCTCCAAGCTACTGACAGTAAGAGGGCTGTGCTGCTGGTGAGATAAACAGAAAGCCTAGACCCTACAGTAAGGGAGAGGGACTTTTTCAAAAGAGAACGAACGAGGAAGTGTCTGCAGCAGTGTCCCATTTGTGTTTCTTTCTCCTGACACTGCATTTGTGAGCTCTTGTATGCATGCATGTCTGTAAGGGCAGCTTTGAGCCTTTTAAGTACTAACAAGTCAGGAAGAGGATAAACACTCTGCCCCAGGCAGGTTACACATTTAGGTAGGAAGAGGCACTGTAGTCCTGTCTTTAAGAAGGGACCAGATGAGACAACTCATCAGGATACTTAATAAAAGAAGCAAATGTTACACAAGAGAGGCGTAGGGGATTTCCTACAGAAACTGCTCCTTTCCCCTGAAGCACCGGGAATAGCCTGGTGAGGCTGATTTTGACACCTGTGATTCCCAAGAGGCGAGACCTGCACCTGCTGTCTCACTAAATAGCTCTAATCTTCACAAACACTCAAGAGCTGTGATCATCTCCATCTTACAAAGGAAGAAAACAAGCACCAAAGGGATTGAATAACTTGCCTGCGGTCACACATCAGTTACAAGTCAGGATTCCAATCTGCCAAGTCTATGTCCTTAACCAGAGAAAAACTAAAGTAGGGATGAAATCTCTCTGCGTCAAGACTGCAGAGATTGTATTTTGGGGTGTTGTAAGCGTTCTCAATAAGTCCTGTCTTTAGATTTTAAACTTGAGGTCTCAGAATTGAACTTTACCTTCATAAGGTAAATCAAACGTAACAGCTAGACTTTTCAGTAAAGTAAACTCCCCTTATGGGGAGTCAGAGCTCCAGGACACCTCTAGCCTTCTAGACCAAATCCCCAAACTGCAGAGGTAAAATGTTCCCTGAGCATCCAAAATGGGTGTCACAAAGTCCAGGCACTAAAGCTGGACCCTGGGCTCTCACTTAGATCCGTATGAAGTTATTAAACTATCATTCTTTATGTGTTTGGTTATATGGATTCCCAGCCCACGATCGGTAGGAAGCCACAGTGGAGAAGAGAGACAAAGGAAGTATTCCACTCTGGTCCTTTAATTCAACAATCTTTGAGCCTAGGCTCTGTGCTTGAGTACCCTTGGCACTCATTTGGATGACAAAGATGAGCTAAACACTGTCTCTTCTCCCCACCTTAGTGCCCGTAGCAGGAAGCAACCTTAGGTAAAACCCACTAGGAAACAGAACGGTGTCTTCCCTCCGTGTGCAGAGATGGACATTCAACACAACCCAGAAACACCCCAAAAATGTGCTTTTATATCCATATTTCACTATTTCAGAAAGTCTGGAAATATCTTAAACATTGGAAGACGGTTTCTGTAACAACAGACAAGTTACAGTGGTCTAGGGAAATTGCTCTATGGTTGCAGTTCTTAACCTTGGCTGTGCACTAGAATTACCCAAGGAGTTTTTAAAAATTCCTGCCCAGGCCACACACCAGACAAATGACATCAGTATCTTGGGGGTGAGCGTTTTCTTTTTAAACTTTCCAAGTGATTTCAGAGCAAGACCAAGGTTGAGAATCACTGCATAGAATAGAAATCCAACAGAAGCACTGAGTAAATGTGCCCTTATTTGTTGGATATGTACCTGAATCTTAAAGCCATTAATAAACGTTGACATTTCGTCTGTGGGTTTGGGAGCATTTTGTTTAACAATTTTATTGAGGTATATTTTAGAGATCATAGAGCTCACTCATTTCCAGTGTACAATTCAGTAACCTGTAGTGCCTTTAAAGAGAGTGGTACAACCATCACCATAAATCAATTTTAGAACATTTTCATCCCCCCAATAAGAAACCTCAGAAGCATTTTTTTTTTTATATACTCAGTGGTGTGTTAATAAACCACCTGGGTGAGGGATAGCCCTGATTCAAGAGTCTACCTGTTTCCCCGGTATAAATACTCCAATCACAGGCATTTTCAAGCTGCCAAGGGTTTAACAACAAGATTACAAAATTCCTGAGAATTTAATAATGGGCTTGAGTTAGTACTTGTGCCTCTAGGACAATCCTGATATACCTCTCATAAGTCATAAGATCTGAGCAAACTCGAAAATGACCTCTTGCCTCTGGCAGAATTCTGAATGAAATCAAAAAAGAAGAATAAATTCTTCTTTGAACCTCTAGGCTACTGGTTAGGTATAATCTACCCCCAAACTTCTAATTAATTCAGTTTTTTAAATGCTCCTTAAAAACAAAATGATTTAAAGCAGTTGAAAGATAAAAAGTGGCTGGTTTTAATGCCTTCGTTTTGAAATCATTTTTAATAGGTTATCTGAGTAGTCAGGTAGGTTCTTACATTTGTATTTTTGATAGATATAGACAGACAAGGTGGTGGTTAAATTAAAGAGATGGCATACATCTTTGTTCTTTGGTCCCATTTTTCTTCAGGTTCTGGCATCTGTAAGCTCTACAAATTAAACCCTGCATTGTAGCAAATCCATCCCCTGCCTTTCTAGGACACACACGACTTGCTCAGAAGACATTCTTTCTAAAGTACCTAAATCAAGCAACTCAGATGCATTTCTGTGTCTCACTTGCAGAGTATCAGTCTAAAAACACTTATTTTCCTTCATCCTAAACATATTAATGCATCCAGAAGCAAAGGGGAAATAACACAATTTGCAATGGTTGCTCAGCTTCACTTACACGTTGGCCGAATGGGATGGGGGAGGGAGGGGCAAAGGCTGTGGAGAACCGTCCATGAGAAGCAGGAGCTGTACTGGGAACAGAGGGCAGGCTGTGTGTGGCTTCCAAAATGAAGCGACGGGGCTGTGAAACAAATAGTGAATATTTGAGGCACCACCTAAGGAACAAACTAGGATAGAACTGCTAATCAGTTAACAATTTATGATTCCAGCAATTCTTTGATTATAACAAAGGTTCCTACAAAACAATGTAGTTTGGTATGTAACTACAAACTATATAACTACAGACACAAAAGGGATACTGTGAAATAAAAATATTTTAGCATATCTTTAAATATTCAAATTATCTACTCAGACATATTCCTTCAAGCAAGAAATATAATAAATGTTCCCTTTTTTATATATTTTCCCATCTCAAATTTTATAAGGAAGTGTCTGTGTTTGGCTGTGCTGTCAGAGTCAAGAAAGTAGATTCGAAACTCTGGATATTTAAGTAAATTAATTAAAAACTCTCTAATTTCTCTGCTGCTTCCCATATAAGAGAAGGTTAGAGCAGATCAGGGATCAGCAAACTTTTTTGTCAGAAGCCAGGTAATAAATACTTTAGGCTTTGCAGGCTTTATGATTTCTGCTTCAGCTACTCACATCTGTCATTGCCATGCAAAAACAGCCATAGATAACACAGAAACAGATGACTGTGATGGTGTTCAAACAAAATATTATTTAAGGACACTGAAATTCGAATTTCATACAATTGTCACAAGTCATAAAATATTCTTCTTCTTTTTTTTCCCTAACCACTTAAAAACGTAAAACCATGCTTGGTTCACAGTCTACACCAAAACGTGTACCCTGCTAGGAACTGGACCTCACATGGTGGTTTGCTGACGACCCAGGGAATAAGTAACAATAACCAAAGCGAGTTCTTATGAAGAGGCAGACATTTTGCATAAAGGAGCTCTGACCTTCAAAAGGTATCTACGTTCCAGCTTTACACATGAGGAGACTCATTAGCAGAGAAATCAAGCTGCCTGGAGTCCCAGAGAATCTGGGTCCCAAGGCCATGCTTATTCCACCAAACCAGGTTGCCCTCCTGTTGTGAGGGTCATTGGCCGGCACCAGGTCATTCACAGAGTTTGGCCTTCACAATAACACCATCAATACAGTATGATTATACTCATCTTATAGATGCAGAAGGTGACTTCGGATCAGTCAAGTGAACAGTCCAGGTCACAGACCTCATAGGTGGTGCCCTGAGAGTGCCTAGGCGCGTACTCCAGAGCTGACTCTCTCTCCACCTATGGAAGAAGGTACACCTTCTAAGAACGGCAATTTAGTAAGGGTTGGACGCTCACCATGTGCCAGGCACTATTTTAAGCCTTTTGCTTGTATGACTTATTAAATTCACACATCGCTGCCAGGTAGTTACTACCACTAGTGACATTTCTGCTCACAAATGGGAAAAATGAAGGACAGCTTTTATCACATGCTCAAGATGACACTCTCATAAACCTTCAAATCCAGGAGTCTGGCCCCAGAGCCCACATGCTTCTCCACTAACACAACTTCCTGCTTATTATATCAGCACTGTTAGTGCTAGTGAGAACTGAGAGAAAAAGTAGTTCTGTGATTACTACCACCAACATATTTTTTTACTAAAAGACATTATTCTTTCACATTCTTCACATAACAGACATGCATACAAAGCCAGATCAATATCCTAATTCATCAGAACTTTTTTGAATTGTGTGTAGATTCCTTTCTTCGGGGCTAGGCAAATCGAATAGGCTAAGAAAAGCATAGTAAATTCAAAGCTTTAAAGGAAGCTGTTTACAGAGCTGATACCAAGTAGAGCAAAAAAGCTTGTTCCTCTTCTGGGCACAATTCCGTAATCTTGGACTCTAAAAATGGAAGGTGGTTCTCTTGTGGCTGAGCGAGAGTATGTAACTAGTG